CCCTGGCTCCTTCGCTTCAACCTGCCATAAGAACGGCCACTCATCATCACGACGTCATCTGATCGCCCCAAACCCTCACCCTGAAACGCCCCGCCCGCAGGTCGGCGAGTACGCCGAATTCTCCTGGCAGTTCAACGGGCTGGGGAACACCACCTGCACCATCGACGGCCTGCCCGAGGGAAACGACCCCCTCACCGGCCAGTGCCGCTCGCCCCTGCGCAAGAAGATCACCGACACCCGCCGCCACACGCTCGCGGTGACGCTCAGCGACGTGTGCGGCGTCACCCGGCGGGACACGATGAACTTCTCGGTGGCGGAGGGGTGGACCACAAGCGCGGCGACTAATGAGATGGGCCCGGGTGGCGGCGACACCTGGGCCGTGCTGCCGCTCGCCAAGCCGGTGCACGCCCCCGCGGCGGACGCGCCCACGCGCTCGGCCGCGGCGGCGGCGACTGCGCGCGGGGCGTGGGCTGTGGGGCTGGCCGCATTTGCGGCGGCAGCGCTGCTGTACTGATGGGGGCGGTCCAGGGCTTGGGTTCGGCGCGGCACTGTGCAATCTCCAACCTCGAAACATCGAAATGCGCACTGGTCTTAATTCATGTACAGCCACACAGCTCAACCCTGGGGTGCACTGAATTCTTGTCGGCTTCATGCCCCTGCTGTTTCGACAGTCCCTTGCATTGCAGCGCCTTGCTGCTGCCGCCCGTCAGATCGTGGTTGTTGCGTTTTGTTTTCGAAGAGCTATTTCTTTCGGGGCAAAGATCCTTCCATTGGGCCCCAAAGCGCGACGTGTCCTGCTCTCCAACAACCTGGCGCGCTGGTCCCGCGTGCACCAGCGCTGCAGCTGGCCCCTTGCTGAGCGCTTCGACGGCAGGGGATAGCGCAGCCGCGGTTACCCCTCTCGCGGATGCCCTCTGCACGCGAATAGCAGTGGCGATTCTGTGAATGCAAAGTTGCCTGCCTTGCCCAGTCGCATTGCCAACAGGAGCCTCGGCCACGAGTGCCGAGCAGCGGCGTGGCACGGCCGAAAAACAAGGGGTTCACCAGAAAGAGGGCCGACGGCATAGCTATGCCTGAATGTGGGGTTATAGACCCGGCGCGGGCTCATGTCAGTGGGATCATATGACAGGCGGCTGCAAAAACAGGGAGGGGGGCAGGCACGCGTGGTTGTTGCCAGTGCGCGCTGCCCGCCCCCCAAACCGGCGTTCGTGTGATGTGCGTCGTGCATTGGGGCGGGCCGCGCGCTTGGGCGCATCAAGTTCAAGGCAGAATATCAGTCAGTCCTCAGCCAGAGGAGCATTGGGGCACTGGAGGGGTTTGGGCAGAGCGGGACCTGACGGTGATGAGTCATCGGGGGGCTACACAGTGCGTGGGCCACTCACAATAAAGGGGGCACAGCCTGGCAATAAGAGCGGTGTTGGGCCACAAGGGAAGGCGCCCCTGCCGCGACGAGCAGGGGCGCCACCCCGCCTCTCCCCCTTCCCGAAATGTTTGTCACCCCGCGGCTGCCGGGCCGCCCTGTTGCGGGCAGCCGGGGCCGTGGCCATCTTAGGGAGTGGGTGTCGGCACAATAGCATGCAAGCGCCTGGGCAAAACACAAAGCGCGGCGGCGGCGGGCGGCCGCGGGAGGCCGGGGAAGTGCGCTGCGTGGCGAGGAGGGGCGTGCGTTAGCCCTCCTGCGCAGCTTGCAGGCTGCGCCCGCCCGCTTGTGTACGGCCCATCCCATAAATTGTAATAATGACCAGTTCTCGTGCCCCACCCAGCCCACCCTGTCAGCCCCGCGCGCAGCTGCAGCGCCACTGGCGCGCCGCCGCCGCCGCCGGCCAGCCAGCCGGCCGCGGGCCGGCGCTGCGCGCACACGTTTATGCCTGTCCGCGGGACCTTGCTGCTTCGTTTATTGGGGCGCCTGGAGGTGTTTGGGCGCGAGGCGGTTTCGGGCCGCGGCGGCGGAGGGCGCGCGCGCGCGCGGGCGCCCCTCGCCGTGTTTCACTTTGCGCATCAACAACAGAGGGGGGAGAGGAGACGACCGGCCGCGCAAAGCTGCTGCCCCGGCCGCCAACCATCGGGCGGTCCTGGGGCGAGGGAAAGCAGTGCGTGATGAGGCCGCGCCCGCGGCGCCTGCGAGCACGCGGTTGCAGCTGAAAACACACCGGCGACGGCGCCGCACGCGGGCGCAGCGCGCCGGCGGCGTCGCGCCGCGAACACCGCGCCCGCGTTTCGCACCGGAACCAGATAGCCGTCCAGCGGTTTCATCGGCACACAGCCCATCTCCCCGCTTGCAGGGACGGGGTAGCAGAGTGCTTGCCAAAGGCACGCCCCCTGCCGTCCGAGCCCGCAGCCGCGGCGTCAGAGCACCGGGGCCGCACACGCGGACGCGCAGCGGCCCCGTGCGCTCGGCCAGGCCAGGGCGCTGAGTAGGACGCGGTGGCCTGCGCCCGCGGCGCTTCGGGGCCGCTTTGCGCGCGGGCGCCAGGCTGAGCGGGCCGGGGCGCGTGCGCGTGCGTGTCTGCATGCGCGGCCCGCCGGCGCTGGGGTGGTAATGGTATGGGTCCGACAGGCCACATGTGAGAGATACAAACACTGGGAATGCTCACGCTGCAACACAACAGCAGACATCACGCCTGCGCGCCGCCACGCGCCCTGCGCCCGCGCGCGCTCGCATGCGTCCCCAGAGGGGACCGGGGAGACGAGGGGTCTTGGCCGCCCGCGGTCGCAGGCTCGGCTGCAGGGCGCACCGTCGCGCCCAGCAGCCACCCAAGCGCACGCCCGCGACGCGCGTCGCGCAGGGGCAGCGGTGGTGATGAGGGGACGAGCGCAGACAAGCGCGGACGGGTGCCGTGCCGTCGGTGCGTGGCAAGGAAGTGGGATCACAACAGCGCCCGCCCGCCCGCCCGCCGACGACTCCTTTTGGGCGCGCGGGCGACGGCGGGCCTTTATCTTGCCGGATGGCGTGGGCGGTCAGACGAATGAAAGTCGAATCAGCGGTTTGGGGGTGCAGGAGAGGAATCAAGGAGGGGGTGGTGAAAGCCGCTCTGTGACATCCCGAGCGCCAGCGGCTCCGCACCCTGCTGCAGGGTGCCTCAGAACCCGGGGGCCACGCCGCCCAGGGCCATGCCGGCGGCGCCCAGCGCGGCGACCGCCGCAAGCCCCGGCGGCACGCCCCCCGCCACCGAACCGCCCCGCAGCAGCCCCCCCGCCGTGCTCGCGCTTCCGCCGCTGCCGCTGCCGCTGCCGACGGCGGCGTCGCGGGCGGCGGCGTCGCAGAGGGCGGCGCCCGCCTTGGCGGCGGCGGCGGCGACAGCGGCGGCGCTGCCGGCGCCGCCACCGCCCAGCATGCCTTGGAGCTCCTCCAGCGCGTCAAGGGCGCGCATGCGTGTGTATTTGGACGCAAACACCTTTGAGAGAGATGGGTGTGAATGTTGTGTGTGTGTGTGTGTGTGTGTGTGTGTGTGTGCGTGTGTGTGTGTGTGTGTGTGTGTGTGCGTGCGTGCGTGCGCGCAAGCGTTGAGTGCACCGTCATGCACAAGCTGCATGGCTGCCGGGTGCAGAGAGAGCACGCGGCGAATTGCGGCTGCTGTCACGCTGCCCTGCGTGCTGCACATGCGGACCGCAACCCCATCGGTGCCTGCACACACATACACACACACACACACACACACACACCCATACCGACCCAAACCCAAACCCCACCCATGCCAGCAGACACACATACAGCATGCACGCGCGACCCGAATACACTCACGCACACACGCGCGCGTGCGCGCCCGCACCTTCCGCTTGTCCACTCGCGTCCCCTTGTACACGTCCAGCACGTGCGTCGCCCCAGGAAAGTCCCTGATCCACGCGTCGACCCGCCGCTCTTGCAAGTCCTCCCCCCTGATGATCGCGTGCACCAACCCGTCCCCGTCAGCGCTGGGGTGGCCCGGGGCCTTGACAGTCAGCACCAGGCAGCCGGGCTGGCTCATGGAGAAGCGGCAGATGAAGGTGCCGGCGGGCTCGGCGCGGAGGGCGGCGACGGTGCCCTGGCGGTCCATGTCGAAGCCGGCGATGACGCAGGGGTCCTCCAGGTTCCAGACCTGGGGAATTTTGGGGGTGGGGGTCGGGTTTGAGGCGGGTGGTGGTGAGGGGGTGGCTTTAGTGG